TTTCGTTACTTATCAAAAATTATTATTGGAAATAAGAGGTGTAAGTATCCTTATTTTATAGTACAATTTGAAACGACATTGTATGCGTGTACAGAGTCCAATAATTGGCCTGACGAAAAAATAACAGCATTGTGTCTATACTTTCAGTCTTGTATAGTACTTAGAAAAAAATATTTTAATAATTTATAAGTACTTTAATAATATACTAATATTTTTATTGTAAATTATATTTACCCAATCGAAAATTAAAAATACATTGACAAAGAAAACAAATAATTCATATAAATACATCGATAAAATGTATAGTGTAAAATATTGTAAGACCAAAAAAAAAAAATTATTCCAGTTGAGATCAACTATAAGGTAAAAACAAATTATTTTGTAAGCAATTTGAAAGTATCGATTGATATATTTTTTTAAATATTTGTATTTATATTTAAATATTTTTAAAATTTATTATTTTTAAGTCTGTGTAATTAATGTCTTTATTTATGTATGTATGGTATATCAAAATAACAACTGGGAACTCGCGTCATGTTAATTTCAACGGTCGCTTCTTCAGCTTTACACCCGGCTTGGCGTCAAATAAATCCGTAATTTATCTTAAGATGTAATAATATTATATTATACACTTTGAAATAATTTTCGTCGAAAATCCACTTTGGTATGGATTGTATTGTATTCGCGATAACGACGGTCGTTGTTATTATAATATTATCGCGTCGGTTCGCAATTATTATTAAATTGCAATAATAATAATAGTAATGTAGCTATAAGGAGTATATGGTTGCCGGTATCGCGTAAACCAATAAGCTATGGTAGTAGTAGTAGTAGTAGTAATAATAATAATGATAATATTGTAAAATGTGTTATTACAGCGATACTTTGAGGAAAAAATTATTTTAAGAATATTTTCGGCTGTTAGCAGGTTCATTGTTTGTTTAGTCTTGTCGAAAAAGTCACAGCAATAATGCGCGGTTCTATTATCATGTATGTGGAAGAGGAAACAATGATGTCGACGGCGTGATGATGGAGATGAAGACAGAGGCCAAATGAGCCTATCCTGTGCTTGTGCTTGGACGCGCATATTATATATATACACTTTTAAAATGTACGTTATATATGAATAGTATACTAATGTGAGTTTGTAGTGCCGCGTGCACTGTGTGCGGAAGAAAAGCAGTTTGGTTGTTGACAGGGTTCATTCTTTTGTTATCCCTGTTAAAAGTGATCTCTCTCTCTTTCCCTCTCTCTCTCACTCTCTCTCTCTCTCTCTATAACTGGCTAGGCCTTGGTAAAGTCGGAGTATTATTTTATATTATAATATAATTTATATACACACATATTCAACAGAGTGATTAATCAAAAACATGTTCAGCATTATTATATCCTTTAATAATGCATGTGTTCAAATACTAACTTTTAAAATATTTAAATATACTTAAAGACAATTTTATTTGTTTTATATAATAATAAAATTAAGGACTGTGACGACATAAACTTGTTTTTTTTTTTTTAAAATAAGAATCATTACACTTTTTGTGTAAGTTTTGTTTGTTAGTCAGACGACTTTTGTACGTGTAGTACATGGCTAAATTAAAACTTGATTTATGGAGGATTTTAAGTTAATTAATTTTGTGCACTGAAAATAATAGGTCTACGATAATATGGGTTTGAAAGATATAGTTGTTATGGTGAAACATTTTAGTAATCCATATCTCATAGTATGTTAAATATCTTCCCAGTATAATACTAAATAAAATATTACATCTATTTTATATTTTTTGCAAAAACATTTTTAAGGACTACTATTTTTAATATTATATTTCATATAATAATTAACAGACTACTTGTTCTTATTTTGATTTAGATATTTAACTTAAAACGTTCAATAAAATCATCTGCACTTAAAGTTATAAAAATATTTTTTATTTGATAAAAAAATGAGTACCATTACAGATCAACAGAACATACCTAAATTACTTATAGAAACTAAATACATAGAAATATTATCATTCTCAAGTATTCTTAAAATATTATCAAAAATCAAAATTTGAACAAAGTCATTAATAAAATAATAAGAATGAAGATGATATTGTTTGGTGAATCATTCTGTATATGTATATTTATTATATAATGTGTTAAACACGCAGTAGTTGACCAAGAGAAATTGATCATAGAGTTGGTCCCTTTTTTCCTCTTTTATAAAATATTTACCAAGAGAGTACAATAATATAAATATTGTATATTATATATATGCAGTAAATAAATAGGTTAAATAAGCGAAGTGATCTTTTTTAATGGAAGATACTCGTTGTTTCTGTTTTTTTTTTCAAAATGTTTATAATTTTTATATTTTTATTTTTTCATGATGTAATGAGATTTAATTACATTATATATATATATAAATACAACAAAATTATTAGTTTTTTTTTCTAACACATTGACGGGTACTTGTCATTTATCTAAATTGTCTTAACCTGCTTTTAGAACGCACTTTTTTATTACTACTATAGTAATAACCAAGTTGGTTAATAGAAAATTGTATAATTTGTTGGTATTTTTTCCACAAAAATGTGTTAGAGCCCAATTATCTAAGTAAACACGATGTGGCAGTCTGATGTCTACTTTAATTTGATACCATTAGAATTAGTACTATTATAACTGTACTGTCTTAATATGAAATTTTTCATATTACTGCTATAGCAGTCATGCCATCCTATATCAAAATTATATATTATTGCTATAGCAGTAGTGTCCGTCAATGTAACTAATCATATTTTTAACTTCATTTTTACTTTATGTTATTAAAAGCATTCTACATTTAGAAATTCACTGAAAGGAGTATTTCCGAAAATTCAGAGAAAATATTGAAAATAAATTGTATTAGTCTAGAAAAAAATCATCACCTTATTATCATTATAAACATATAATATATGTATACTTATGTGTATTTTACGCTCGTTAAGCGTAATATTCGTCTCTGGAGTTATACGCACATGGCACATGTGACGGAAATTAAGGAAATTATGTGTAAATATTTCAGTGAGTTCATAGCAATTTATACACGTACAGTTATGCAATATTAGAAATGATCACCATTATCATAAAGCTTAACCAAGGAATATAATTTTTTTTAAGGTCTGTGACTTTTGATTTGGCTATATGTATATACATAATAAATTATTCATACTTTTAATTGAGACAATGAGATCGCTGAAATTTACTGCGAACGAAATGATCATATAAATATATTTTATATTCCGCAGTTGTTCTTCTACTTTCTCTTCAGAATAATAATAATAATAATAATAATAACCTTATAATAGCTTATACGAAACATTCGTGCGACAAATAATCGAAAAATAAAGACAAAATGTTTGAAAATAGATCATTTTCGTGTATTGGTGTACGCATGTGTGCTTTACATTATTATTATTATTATAGTCACAATCACTTGGATTGCGTTCGAAAGTACTTAACGATGCGTGTTATTTTATCTAAATGGTTATTACTTATTGTTTAAAAAGTCAGAAAGTAATGTGTTTTGGTATCGATGTTTATTGTTTTATATCGAAAGAATAAAATATTTTGTATTTCGTATACAATTTTTGAGCATTAAATCAAAAGTGAATATTCAATATCATATTATAGACCAAAGTATAGTGTAGACGATTAACGTAATGATTTCAATGACACCACTACGTTGATCTATAGTAGTTTTGTAACAGCTAGACATCGAGAGGCAACAGTATTTGGTTTATTTCATAGATAGATAAAAAACATATGTATATTATAATACATTGTGTATAATATTAAGTGTTTATATTATTGTATATATTGACGACAGTAATAGTTGACATAATTGTATGGTCGCATACATGAGGTTATATCAGTTAAGGCTGTGTGTTAATGGTTAATGTATACTGTTTTTTGAATGTGAATTTTTCGTTGATATACAGAATTAATATAACAGACCGATTCCTGGAAAATTATATAAATATTTATCTGAACAGAATATCTCATTCGTGGTGATATTGGAAAAAGAATAATTTCTTAGATCCTAATACTATAATGTTTGGTCGCAAAGGTCGAATTTGACGACAGCTTTTAAACCGTCATTCAGTTACTCTCTCTGAGTCTCAAATGCGCACACCGTGTGATGTACAATTTTCAATGAAGTATGCAATATAATATTATGTTGCTATGTTTGTAATAATATTATTATTATATTCATTGGCTGGTGCAGTGCATAGACAATTTCCGTACGTCGATGTGTGATTAGTCTAACATGTTTCTTTTCAGTTATCCATTATAATCTCTCTTTTTTATTTTCCGAGCATGGTTTGATTGCAATAATTAATATTCCTTAATATTAACTTACTCTATTTTATAATCCTTCTTATATTATATGTAATATAAAATATGTGTCGTATCTATGTTTGTATTGCTATTGTATGATATAGTATTATAAATTGCCATTCATTAATTTATATTTAGTTAAGAGTAGAAAGGTTCAATAAAAATCAAAATCTTATTGATTGGTTTTATATTCTCTTTAAATAGTCTATGTTTATTATAATATTTCTAACAACCATTGCCAATAAACTATAGTGACGTTTAAGTTGTAAATATACTTGACCGTAGACGTTTTGCTGTCAAACATTACGAACTTATTGTTATCGTGTAATAGAAATAATTTGTTCCGTGTTTGTATATTGGGGATTGGATTGCTTCACAAACTTTTGAATTAGTTTTACGATCAATTAAGAAGAAGACTTATAACATAAATATACATATATTTATATTTTGATATATTATGATATAAATATATGTAATTGAGTTATAATATATAAATTTATAACATTAGTTTTATAAATGTTTTCTATATTTTAGAAAAATAATTTTACTTCTTATTCTTTATAGTGTATGTTATAGAAATTTCATATTACATCATAAAATAATAATAAAAAACGTTTCTAAAATAAATATTGACTCACTGAAATTGCTTTTGTCGGCTTGTCCTGAAAAAAAAAAAAAAACAAGATATACTTTATTAATGTACCCTTAAAGTCTAACTGATCAAACTCACAAAATCTCATATAATTATGTTTTTATTATTATTATTTTTTTACTTTCGATACAATAACAAAAGGAATTATTAGTTTTCGCCTATATTGTGATAGTTTATTTGTTCAGAGATACGCACATAGTACTTTTCTTTTATTTTATGTTTAGAAAAACACAAATACCGTAAATATGAGTTTTATAATCTTTCCAAAATGAAAATTATTATAAATCCAATAAATATTAGTTTTTATCCAACTTTCATAAGACAGGGTTTTATAATTTTTAGTTTAATTATAGTTGTAGTGAAGTAGATATTTTGTTTTATATGCGTATTACGGGAATAAAATATTAAAAAGTATCAACTTATATTTACTGTGCCTGAAAAAAATATTATTTTTCAAGTTCTAATAAATTTGTACATACGATAGGTACATCCATATTTTAGGTGATTCTTAATTACTAGCTCGTTTATTATAAACTATAATGCGATCATTATAATAAATTCACTTCTTAAAAATTATATTTTATTTAACGTACTAAATAGTTGTTTCATTATTTATGTATTTTGAAAGTCACATATTACAATGATAAAATATTATGATATATTTATTTAGTCTTAAACATATTTTTTTATAGAATATTTTAACTTATAATAAATTTAATTTTAAGTTTGAAGTCATTATGACATTATGAAGTTTCATAATAATTATAAACATTTTACTATTTTTAAGGGAAATTGAAAATTTTAAAGGAATCTATTTTAATATAATTTCTACGTTTCAGGAATTATTCTACGCTAGTTTGTTAATCAGTCGGATATTTGAAAGTATAATTTCAACATTTATGTTTATATTGTTATATTTAAAGTGTAGTGAAATGAAACGATTTTGGCATAATTAACTGGAAAAACGAAAAACTATTCATAATTAAATGTATACAAAATAAATTATCTCGGTGTAAAATTGAATTACAGTGTTCTAGTATTATGCTATACTTTGATCTTTTTTCTCACTAAATGAGAATATATCATGTGTACCTAAGAATAATGCACGTTACAGCAATATCTTCTATTTAAAAAAAGTTGAGGGTTTAAATTCAATTGATTTGTTTGAATTCATCGTAAATTTATTAATATGATAAATAGAATTGAAAAACTTTGTTATTATATGACTTAATATATGATTTAAATGTAAATAATTGTGTTTAAAGAGTTGTAATATTAATTTTCTGTTTTTAAAAATAAATAATAATAAAAATAATATCTCTATGGTTTTTTTTTTTTTTAAAATACTGTTACATCATGTAAGTCATATTAAAATATAGTGATGTATCTTACCATTGATTTATCGTTTATTTTAAACATTTAATTTGTGTTATCATTTTCAATATTTTTGTAAATAAATTAGAATTTTGTCATAATTTTGATTTCCAAATAGATATTTTATAACTCAGTAATTTTAGCTGAAATTGATTAAAACCTTTAATATGATAGTTGAAATAACAAACTAAGTTAAACGATCAAAGTTTTAAAATTTTAGAAACTTAAACTATACTATATTTTAACTACCTATTGTGAAAATATGACAAAACATTGTTTTTTTGAATATAGTTTTTATAATGAAAAATAAAATATAATTATAATATTATTTTTTAACGTATAGTAATCAAATTATAAACTTGCTACTAATTAAAATAACTAACGACTTAACTAAATACAGTCGAGTCGCGTTAACTCGAAATTGAAGGGGAATAAAAATACACTTTGAGATACGTATCATTTGAGATTCTGAACTTGAATTTATCAAAATTAAATCAAAACTTCAAGTTATGTAATAAAATGTAATAAAGTATAATAATTTTCGATAAATATATGTAAATAAATATTAGACTTATACAAAAACTAAAATAGATATAATGGTGTTATAAATATGTTTATATATGTATTATTTATTAGATAAGTAGAAAAATTATTTGTCATTAATTTTTGAATTTTCGCCTGTTTATTGATAAAATCTTTTAATTTTCCTATGGCTTCGAATATAGAAGTTAAATGATTTAATTTTTGTTTTTGAGACATGTTTAAAAACATACATAAATACTCACAATAGACATGACAGATAAGAAACATACTAACCGTGCATACATACTGTTATTGTGCATGCGTTAATAATCAGTTTCTATCTACTCGTTTAATCTTCAAGTAGATAAAACAAAATTGAAAATATTATGAAATACCTAGATACCCAGATACCACAGAAAAAATAATATACTTCGATTAACTAATTGTTGTTTTACAATAAGTGTATGTGATGGAGGTGACATGGCTTGAGTGGCCGGAGATAAGAAGCCACCCATTGGAGGCACTTAAGGTTATGATTTTAGGCTACGATTTTAATGTGCTAACAAGAGAGAGTGAGATTATAAAATTAAGGGAAGGCAGAGGTATATACAATTTTAGATAAGTAGGTCATGATACCAGGTACGTTTAAAACGTCTTCTGGGGTTACCAAGAATAGTGTTGGTGGATAGCTCGGAAATCAGGGGATTACGATGGCTGTGGAATTTGGAGTGTGTGCGTTTGTAGAAAGTTTTTTGCGACATTTTGGACTGTTGTAATGGCTAGATCTCTATGTAGATTGTCACAAAATAGGGAGCTTTGGTTATTTGGCGGAGAAATTTAGATTGGAAGATTTGAATTTTGTTCAAGTTGGACTTTTTGGCTGCACCCCAGAGTTGGATACCGTATGTCCAGATCGGTTTGAGTAAGAGTTTGTATAATAGTAGCTTGTTTTTTAAGTTAATGTGTTATGATATGAGGAGATAACGTTATTGACGAGAGCGATTATTTAAGGCAAGTCTTTTGTTGTGGGTGTGAGTTGCCCAAGTTAGCCTGCGGTCTAAATGTAGACCTAGGTATCGGACATTTTGGGCGGTTGGGTGAGGTATATTGTTGAGGTAGTTGAGAGAGCAGATTATTTTCCTTAGTGTCGTACTGTGGATGGATTTTGTTTCATTAATTTTTATTCCCCAGTCTTTATACCAGGTTGATAAGAGGTTGAGATGATTTTTCACGAGGTTTGAGGCTATTTCGAGGTCGGAATAGATCGATAGAAGCGCTTTGTCGTCGGAAATGTCACCAGTTGTAAGTGTAGGGAGTGGTAGGTTGATCTGAGGTGAATAAATTGAAGAGTAGACGTGCTGTTACAGAACCTTGAGGTACTCCTATGTAGATTGGTGATACTTCGGATAAGGAGAAGCCAGATTGAACGGTAAAATGTCTGTTTTCTAAATAGGATTTAAATGATAGAAAATAGTATGGTGGAAGAATAGATTTGAGTTTGAAGAGTAAAATTTCATGCCATACTCTGTCGAATGCCTGTGATACGTCAAAGAAGGCAGATGTGCAAATAAGCTTTTTTCAAGAGTGTACGATATTTTATCCACTAGACGATGGACTTGGTGTATTGTAGAGTGGTTATGACGAAATCCAAATTGGGTATTCGGTATGCTAGTTTCAATGATAGAAAGGATGCGTTTTAGGATAATTCGTTCAAACATTTTTGAAAATAGTGGTAGAAGACTAATGGGCCTGTATGATTCGGGAGAGTCGGGGGGTTTAACAGGTTTGGGGATCATAATGATGATTGTGAATTACTAAATAACGGGGAAGTATGATAGTCTAAGTATAGAGTTAAAAATGTATGTTAAGAGAAGTAAGGTTTTTTTTTTGGGAAGATATGTAGCTACCTCAACTGTGATTAGGTCATAGCCTGGGCTTTTGTGACGAGGGGAGTTTCTTATTGCATATTCAACGTCGCTAGGTCAAATATATTTAGATGGGAGAGTCATGGGTAGAGGGTGGGAGAGAGAATGGTTTACTTTTTCGATTTGAGAAGGAGTAAGAATATTGTTGTGAGGTTGAAAGGTAGAATAGAGATGATGTCGAAATATATTGGTTTTATCTAGATCAGTGACGGCCCAAGTACCATCGGTTTTTTTTAGTGGAGGAACAGATTGTTCTGTTCGAAGGATTTTCCTTGTTGTTTGTCAAAGTGAGTTGTCGGTAAACGTAGACGAGAGGGAGACGAGACGTTTGGTGAAATTGTCTGATTTAATAGAGGCTAGAAGTCTTTTAAGTTTATTAGATAAATGGCTAAGTTTGCGTTTGTCCGAGGGATGAATATTTTCTTTTAAATTAAAAAAAATCGGTACAAAGTAAAGCCTATAGTATCTGTACTAAAAAAGTCGTATTATTTATTAAACACATTGTTATTTATTTCAAACACATTATTGTATTGCTGAACTAAAAGCTATTTTCTACTAAGTTATTATTTTACGAAAAGTATTATTTTGCTTTTCTTTTGTATATTGCGTTACAATTTTTAAGTTTTATGCAAGTGACAAACAATTTATTAAAACCCTCTTTTTGGAAAAAATCAATTACTTATATTTGAGATTAAAATGTAGAAATAGCAAATATTGTCGTGCATAAAGAAAAACAATATTCGAAATTAATATCATGTTTCTTTAATTTATGCTAAAATATTATCAGGTGTGGTTTTGACTTTGTACATAAGTGGAGATTAATAATGCCTTTATCATGTATTGGATAGGTCGAGTTTCACAATTAAATACGATTAATATTTAATGTAATCATGATGAAAATATATCTCTAGAGTATTACAGACGTGAAATTCTAAGTCTTGAGTGTCAAAATTGAAGTTAAATGTGTGTGATTAATACCGACAGATGACAGCAGGGAATGCATGCTATATTATATGGTAATACATTGCGTATTAGTGTTTGCGAAATAATACAACGCACCGTGCATAAATTGGGCTTTGTTTATGGATGGGTTAGTCAAGAACTGCACAATATTCAATCTTAAATGAAACTTGCGTTTGTAGATTCGTCGGTATATTAAAATGATCATAAACGTATTTATTTTAATATG